AGATGAGGGGAAACTGAAATACGCAGGAAAGGGGGAAATGGGAAAACTAAAGCACAAAGATGATGGGACACAAACGCAAGAGATGAGGGGAAACTGAAACACGAGATGAGGGGAAACAGAAAAAGAAAAGAGGGGAAGATGAAAAACAAAGATGAGGGGAACAGAAAAGGGGGAAACTTAAACAGAGAAGAGGAACTGAAACACAGAGAAGAGGGGAAACTGAAAAAGAAAAGAGGAGAAACTAAAACACAGAGAAGAGGGGAAATTGAAACACAAAAGATGAGGGGAACTGAAACACAGATGAGGGGAACCTGTGACCCAGAAATGAGAAAAACACATCAGACGCATAGAAGCAGAGACGTATAGGCCGAGACACGTGGACAAAGGGAGGGAAGCGGGCAGATACACGAGGGAAATGGGATACAGGGAAGGGAGGGAGATGCAGGGGAGAAAAGGGAGGGGAGAAACGAGGGAGAGGGAATTGGGATAAGGGAAGGAGAGAGAGAGAGGGAAGAAGAAACGAGGGAGGGAGAGGGAGGGAGAGAGGGGGAGGAGAAACGAGAGAGGGAGAGGGATCTGGAATAAGGGAAGGGAGGGAGAGGCAGGGAGAGGGAATTGGGATGTAGGGAAGGGAGGGAGAGAGAGGGAAGGAATAGCGAGGGAGGGAGATGAAATTGGGATACAGGGAAAGGAGGGAGAGGCAGAGAGAGAGAGAGGAAGAGAAACGAGGGAGGGAGAGGGAATTGGGATGCAGGGAAAGAAAGGAGAGGGAGGGAGACGAAACGAGGGAGGGATGGAGAGAGGATGGAAGAAGGGAGAGAGGAAGGCAGAGAAGGAAGGGAGGAGAATGGAGGAGAGAGATAGGGAAAGAAGGAGGGAGGAAAGGAGGAAAGATAGACAAAGAAGACAAGAGAGAGAGAGAGAGAGAGAGAGAGAGAGAGAGAGAGAGAGAGAGAGAGAGAGAGAAGAGAGAGAGAGAGAGGAGAGAGAGAGAGAGAGAGAGAGAACAGGAACTGCAGTAATAGTGTTGGAAATAATAAAATAGTATTAGATTAAACGGTAGCAGTAGAAGTGGCGGAAAAAGCTGTAGAAATAGTGAAAATAGCAAAGAAGAAATAGCAGAAGTGGCATTAGAAGTAATAGTAAAAGAATTAGCAGAAATGGTATTTAAAAAGTATCATAAAGCACTGGAAGAGTAGAAGAAATACCAGTAGTAATGTAGTAAAATGTATAAAGGAGAAAGCATATATTCACAGAGCAGGAGATGCATTAGACACGTTTCTATTATACATATATTTCTGGCCTGATCGAAACCGGTCAGATATGATCTCTTGCACTGTACAGAAAATCATTCTCATTCATACCTTTTTCTACGTGTGTTGCAATAAATTTCACCATAGTAGTAACTGAAATATTGACTGTGGAATTAGCAGCAAAACAAATAGCGGAAATAATAGCACCATAAATAACGGGGGAAAAAAAAGTTGTAGCAGAGGCAATCACGACAGTATAATGAAGTTGCTAGCCTTTGTCATTTCAACCTCGACTGACATGCACAGGGAACAACTTAAATCTCTTATCTCCCATTCCGATTTATTGTGTTGTTTCCTTCGGTCACTGATTCTTTTACTTGAAAATATACAGATACAAATAGATGTGTGATAGATAGAAGGGTATATGGTGTACATTATACGATGTACTGTTAAAAGGTAGGTTGGTAGGTGTGTGTGGGGGGGTGCGTGTGCGTGTGAGTGTGCGTTTTTGCGTGTGCGTGTGTGTGCGTGCGTGTGTGTGTGTGCGTGCGTGCGTGTGTGTGTGCGTGTGCGTGTGCGTGCGGTGCGTGCGTGTGCGTGCATGCGTGCGTGCGTGCGTGCGTGCGTGTGTGTTGCAGATAAGAAGAGAAGAGCTAACAATAAGTCAAGGTTGACGCCGCCGGCAATAGCCGGGCGAGACGCCGGGGGCAAACAAGCCAACGAGGCTGAAAGGGAGAAGGTTAGCAATTCCGCCACAACTGCATGATCCGGCAAGCGAAATGATGGGGGCGCCTGTGCAACGCGTCCCGGGATAAAACAGTGCACGATGAACAACGCCACCGCATTACATTAGCATAGTTTGCAAAATTTGCATGACCGGACAAAGGATGCATGCCGGCCAAAGGGATGCAGTGTGTTCAACATGACTGCAACACGATGGTGGGGAGGGGGAGGGAGGGAGGAGGAGGGAGGAGGGAGGAGGGGGGAGAGGGAGGGAGAGAAGGAGGGGGAGGGGAGGGAAGGGAGGGGAAGGGGGGAAGGAGGAGGAGGGGGGAAGAAGGTAGAGAGGGGAGGAGGGAAGAAGGGAGGGAGGGGAGGAGGGAAGAAGGAGGAGGGGAGGGAGAGAAGGAGGAGGAGGAAGAAGGGACAGAGGGAGGGAGGGGGAGAGAAGGGAGGAAGGGAAGAGTAGAAGGAAGGACGGAGTGAGGAAGGGAGCGAGAGGAGGAAAGAAAGGGAGGCGGAGAGAAGAGGACGGAGGAAGGTGAGAGAAGGGAGGGAAGGAGAGAGACGGACGAATGAAGGGAAAGTAGGAAGGAGGGAGAGAGAAAGAAGAGGAAAGAGAAGGAAAGAGGTAGAAGAAGAAATGAAAGGAAAGAAAAAAGAGAAGAACAAGGGAGGGGAGGAAGACGAAGTAGAAAGAGAGAGAGGGGAGAAGGGAAGGGGTTAAGAGGAGGTGAAAAATTAACGAATATCGAGCGGGAATGGAGGAGGAACGGGACAGGGGGAGAGAAAACAGAAGATAATGACGAGGGAGAATGATGAATTCGAGCGAAAAGCGAGTGGAACTTTCGACTAAGCTCATGATATATGGTGTCACGAATGGCGAGGGACAAGGGGCTCTCTCTCTCTCTCTCTCTCTCTCTCTCTCTCTCTCTCTCTCTCTCTCTCTCTCTCTCTTCTCTCTCTCTCTCTCTCTCTCTCTCTCTCTCTCTTTCTTTCTTTCTTTCCCTCTCTCTGTCTGTCTCTCTCTCTGTCTCTCTCTCTCTCTCTCTCTCTCTCTCTCTCCTCCTCTCTCTCTCATCTCTCTCTCTCTATCTCTCTCTCTCTCTCTCTTCTCTCTATCTTTCTTCTTCTTCTTCTCTTCTCTATCATCTGTCTGTCTGTCTCTATCGTCTATCTCTTCTCTCTCATCTATCTATCTATCGTATCTATTCTATCTTCGTATCTATCTATCTATCTGCTATCTCTCTATCTCTATCTATCTCTCTCTTATCTCTCTATCTCTCTCATCATCTCTCCTCTTTCCCTTCTCCCTTCCCTCCCTCTTTCCCTCTCCCTTTCCCTCTCCCCCTCTCCCCCTCTCCTTTCCTCCTCTCCCTTCCCTTCTCCCTCTCCCTTTCTCTCCCTTTCCCTCCCTTCCCTCCCTTTCCCTCTCCTTTCCCTTTCCTCCCTCCTTCCCTCCCTTCTTCCCCTTTCCCTCTCCCTTTCCCTTCTCCTCCCTTCCCTTTCCTCCCCTCTCCCTCCCTCTCCCTTTCCCCTCCCTCTCCCTTCCCCTCCTTTCCCTCTCCCTTCCCTCTTCCTCTCCTTTCCTCTCCTCCCTCTCCTTTCTTCTCCCCTTTCCTTCTCCTCCTTTCCCTCCCCCTCTCCCTCTCCCTCTCCCTCTCCCTCTCCCTCTCCCTCTCCCTCTCCTCTCCCCTCTCCCTCTCCCTCTCCCTCTCCCTCCCTCTCTCTCCCTCTCCTCTCTCTCTCTCTCTCTCTCTCTCTCTCTCTCTCTCTCTCTCTCTCTCTCTCGATTTTTCTGTTTTCGTTTCAGTCACTCATTTGACCTGTCTAGGCCATCATTTTTCTGGGCTATTAGTTCAATGACCTGTTATTTCTCTGACGAATTATTTTTGCCAGCTTGTGTGCCTGTTTACTTGTCTGACGTTTTCCTGTCTGTCTGTCTGCTTGTCTGCCTGTCCTTCTGTCAGTCTGTTTGCCTACTTACCTACCTGCCTTCCTGTCTGTCTATCTTCCTGCCTTCTTGCCTGCCTGTCTTTCTGTCTGATTGTCTGCCTGCCTACCTGCCTACTTGTCTTACTGTCTGCCTTCTTGCCTCTCTGCTTGTCTTCCTACCTACCTGTCTGTCTGCCTTTTTGCCTACCTGTCTGCCTGTTTTCTAGTCTGCCCCCCCGCCTGCCTTCTTGCCTGCCCGCCTGTCTGCCTGCATGTCTGTCAGCCTGCTTGCCGTCCTGCTTGTCCTGCTCTGCTTGTCTGTCTGCCTGCTTGTCTGCTTGTCTGTCTCTACTTGCCTGCTTGCTGCCTGTCTGCTGCCTGTCTGCCTGCTTGCCCCCGTGTGAAAGCTCTTCAAGCATCTTAGACTATCAGCTGTCAAATCAGAATCAATCTCTCTTATCTCTCTCCCTCTCCCTCTCCTTCTCCCTCTCCCTCTCTCTCTCCCTCTCCTTCTCACTCTCACTCTACCACTCTGTCTAACTCTCCCTCTCTCTCTATCTTTCCTTCTCTTTCTTCTTCTTTGCCTTCTCCTTCTTATCCATCTCCTTCCCTCTCCCACTCCTTCTCTCCCTCCCTTTCCTTCGCCCTCTCCCACTCCTTCTTCTCCCTCTTCCTCTTCTTCTCCCTCTCCACTCCCACCCCCACTCCCTCTCCCTCTCCTATCCCTCTCCCTCCCCTATCCTTCTCCCACTCCCACTCCCTCTCCCACTCCCACTCCCTAATCCTTCTCTTTCCCTTTTCTTCTCCCTCTCCCACACCTCCTCTCTCTCTCTTTTCTTCTCTCTCTCCCACTCCTTCTCTCCCTCCCTTTCCTTATCCCTCTCTCACTCCTTCTCCTTCTCCATCTTCCTCTCCCTCTCCCTCTCACTCTTTCTCACAAGTACTCTTAGGTAGATCCTCTATAGCCATTTAATTCATAGCAGTTTTCGATTTCCCAAAAAAAAATCGAAAACCACATTGAAATTAAATTACCAAGTCTTTTAAAACTGATTTTCACTGATGTGATACCTAATTATTATTCCATAATTGAATTCATGTATCAAACGAATCAATAACAAAATCTGTTGATGTAAGGAAATGAATATTTTACTTTCATTAAGCGCAGTGATGTACCCTTTCACTGTCTGAGAACGAAACCTTTATAGAGCGAAAATACACGATTTAGTGCCCTCAGTACCCAATAGCTTGGTCTTCCCGCTCGTGATACGCCCACCCAACAGCATGGTGAAATACCATAGTTTTTTTTAAATCTAATAATAACAAAAGTTCTCTTCGCGACACGGAAGGCATGATATACCCATGGTGTAAAGCATCTCTTTAACGCGAGATGGTGGGAGATGTATTTCTTCCCTGCGTTTGCATACAGTCTCCTGCCCCCCCCCCCTTACCTGCCCTGCCTTTACCTGCCCCCCCCCCTTACCTGCGTGAGCCAGAAGAGCCTGTCGACGGACGTCTGCGTGGCGAGGCACACGGGCGAGGAGCGCGTCAGCCGCCCGTAGTGCGGCCCCGTGAACACGTGGTCGTGCGTCTTGTAGCGGCGGCGGGCGTCCCAGCGGCCGCGCGCCTCGTCCACCTGGAACCCGCTGCCCACCACGACCAGGGGCGGGCTGCTCTTCTCCGCCCGCGCCCTCCCCCGCGGGGCTGCTCCTGGTGGTGGGCGCCGCCGGGGCCGTGTTGATGGCCGCGGCCCTGAGGAAGGCCAGGTACTCGGAGTGGTTGGTGGCGGAGAGCGCCGCCGTCCACGAGTGCGGGACGGAGTCGGGGATGGGCGGGATGCCCCCGCAGCCGCCGCCGCCCGAGCCGTCGTCGCGCCCCTGCATCAGGCGCAGCGTCAGCAGGATGTTGCTGGTGGTCAGCGCCACGATGCTGAACATGCCCACGCCCCACACCTTGCACAGCATCTGCAACGGCAGGAGCGGCGGGTCAGGAAGGGAGGCAATAAAGGCAACAAAATATACAGTAAATATAAAAAACATATAGTAGGTATATATATATATATATATATTATATATATATATATATATATAATATATAGTGTGTGTGTGTTGTGTGTGTGTGTGTATGTGTATATATAATAATATATAATATATATATATATATATATATATTATATAATATAATATATATATATATATATATATATATATATAATATGTGTGTGTGTGTAAATATAATATATATATATATATATATATATATATATATATATATATATATATATATATATATATATATATATATATATACATATATATATATACATATTATATGTATGTTTTTTTATATATAATATATATATATATATATGTATATATATATATGTATATATATATATATATATATATATATATATATATATATATGTATATATATATATATATATATATATATATATATATATATATATATATATATATATATATATATATATATACAGTCGATACAGCACACACACAGAAAAAGAAATACCTATGTCCCGCAAATAAATGTTCAAAGAGTATCGCACGCATATCCATACTTCATCTAACCTAGAAAAAAAAAAGAAAAAAAAATATACAAAATCTTTTTCTTCCTCGCTCATCACTCGACCTTGCCGTGTTCCTTTCTCGTTACTTTCCTGAAGGATATATATATTTTTTTTATTTCTCGGTTTCTTTTCCTCATTCTATTGACCAGGTCATGTACACATGGGAGTCGTGTGCGTGCGTGTGCGTGTGTGTGTGTGTGTGTATGTGTGTGTGTGTGTGTGTGTGTGTGTGTGTGTGTGTGTGTGTGTGTGTGTGTGTGTGTGTGTGTGTGTGTGTGTGTGTGTGTGTGTGTGTGTGTGTGTGTGCGTGTGGTGTGTGTGTGTGTGTGGTGTGTGTGTGTGTGTGTGTGTGTGACTGCGTGTCTTGAAAATGTCATCTCAGAGACCCCCCACACACAAAAAAAAAAAAAATAATGATGACAATAATAGTAAATAAATAATTAGGCACAAACAAATAAACAAATAAATAAAATAAATAGAAAAATAGAAAAAAAACAATAAACAAATCACTAAATAAATAACCACGCCGTTGTGACAGGAGGTCAGTCGAAAGGAACACGACCTCGCAGTCAACACCGCTAAGTTGACCCTCATCACTCACCTCATGTCAAGCCTTTTTTCATTCAACGTCTTCGGCTTTTTTCTTTTATTTATTTATTTCTTTTTTCTTTATCTTTTTTTCTTTTTTTCTTTTTTTTTTTTTTGGGGGGGTGGCATAAAGGACCTGGCTATACGTCGGGCGTGCTTGGCAACATCTGCATAAACAATCGATGTTCATTAACCAAGGCAACACCAAAAAATAAACATTGCATTATGTAGGGAGTCCCTGACAACACCAATACAAGCTAGCGAGAGATTTCGATAAACACCGAATTATGTTGAGCGCCACTGACAACACCAATACAAGCAAAACCCAGAGATTTCTACCCCCTCAACACCAGAGAAAAACACAGAATTGTGTTGGGCGTCTCTGACAACACCAAAACAAACCATCGAGGTTTATTTCCACCTTGACAACACTAAAGAAAAATAAAACGATTCACGCTGGTTGTTCCTTAATTCAACAATACAAACCACCGAGGATTTTCTACCCTGACAACACCAAAGAAAAACACTCTGACAACACCAAGACAACTCTGACAACACTGAGTGCATGATGGCCCTGTCCTTTATGCACAGGGAACACATGGAACAAAACCCAAAAAGCTTTTATGTACCAATCTTCATGCTTATGTCATTATACTTTATCTGATTATTGATACCATCGTCATTATCGTGATCATAACAAGAGCCCTTATTATTCGGGTGGACAAGCCAGAAGAAAATCAATGTTGGCGTCAGGAAGGGCACCCGGGGATAAAAAAAAATCTACCAGAATCAGATTATAGCGACCCCATAAGACAAAGCTACAGTAAAAGAATAAGAAGAATCATTATCATTATCTGTGGTTGATATATGTAATCATTATCGTGTTAATAATAGTAATTAGTAAAATAACTGTATCAATACTTTCTTTTCCTTTATCATCGTTACCAATCAACATAATCATCATTATTAATCATTACTAGAACTAATAAAAACAACCATGATCCCAACGGAACAAAAAAAACAACGAGAAATCAACAAAAAAACGCATAAAAACAGCATACCTCCTGTACATTATGATGAGAAAACGCCATCACTCAGACAGCCGGTGACAGCCAGCAGACAGAAAGTAATTGAGTTGCTACCGGCGGAAATAAACAACATTCGTCGTGTTGTTTCTATGAATAAAAAAAAACGAGGGAAAGTTGGCGTAGTTGATAGAAACGGTTGCCATGACAACTGTCGAAAGATTGTTTGCCTTCGTAAGGTGGTGTAGAAGGATGATGATG